GAAAGTTTAAGTTGCTTTACCAAGCCTACAGTGCTCGAGCCATATATATCATCCACTTTTCCATCCCGATTCTGGCTGTCTAATATGGCTATTGATGGGCGCTTTAGATCGAATACTAGAACGTAATAGAACGACGGTTCTACAACYGGGAAGAAGACCTACATTTTTTAAAAGTCGTATCAAGTTGATACCATTTGGATTAATGCTTAAATAGCATACGTACAGTTTCGATCGAAGTTAAAAGATTTACCAGATCAACGTTACGCATACTGATCAATTCTTTATCAGTGTTCATGCAACTCGTTATGTTCTTTCGGAATCTATCATATCTCTGGTTAACATTCAAACCTTCATTCCTAATAATAGCATCCATCTGCAATTATTAACAAACGAACACGGTTACTTATAGGCTACAAAGTCATTTATATGGCAATTACATTGAAATTCATTCAAAATACTATTACCGAAATGTCTGTTTGTACAAAGTAGCGCCTAGGAGACTCATTGCTCCTCAACCTCTCCTCTCGGTTAAGAACCATCGACCACACGTCTATAATTTCTGTGCTAACGATGTTTTGAGATACAAAGGTTTGCAGTGTTTGACGTGTAACTGTCTTCCCTTTTGTTGTCATGAAAACCGGTTCACTACATGTTTAATTCGTTAGGTAGTAATATCCAAATTGACAATAACACATATTTGTACAAAATAACCTTTAAAATTTGGACAAGCTAACTTACAGATTTCCGCCTATGCCTCGTAATATCCAATCCTGCAGCTTTCTTTCATCACTGCTCACCTCGAACGTAACCGCACGCGTAACATATGGTGAACGTAGTTTAAAGCTCAGTTTCGGGTCTCTTTTTGGCATTGTAGATATGACATTTTCGTGTCCACCAACTGCTTTTGAACTACCAACACCAGCAAYGGCCTCTTCCTTAGAGGGACTTATMCCCAAATCGAAAGCTGGTGCATCGATATYTGCATACRAATCAATTACTTGGATGTTGTTACACGTATCATGGTAGCYAGTGCATAAACTATATGTGCATGTCTGTTCGTATACGTAATTGTGTATGCGCATGCGAAATGGTGTTTATAAAATGGGTGTTATTTGTTTGATATACCAATACGATGTTATTATATGATGTAGTGATGAACGGGATGTTAAACACAATGGTGGATATGTGCACCATTTCTTTGTGTGTGAAACATTAGTGTATGTGTGTGCGCTTAGATCACATAATATGCACCTTCTCATAAATCATCACCGTGTACAAGACAATAACATAAATTAACAGTTGTTCATGTTTGTACTAAATCTGCATTCTTTTTGCCCATATATTCACAGCCATATACCCCCAACAAAATTATGGTGGAACCTGTTAATTTGTGTTCGTATATGGCTGGACCAACGTCAATATGTATGCATAAATCCATGATGATCATAACTACCACATAAACTCACAAAAAATTAAAAAAGAATTGTTATTATGAAGCCGTGTTAACATTCCTTTTGGCCCATATATTCACATCAACAGACGCCCCACAAAAATAAGGTAGCATCTGYTATTTTGTGTTGATATCTTGTCCAACCATGAACCAATAGGCGAGACAATATTCTAATACGACAGTGATGATCCTTATGTGAAAAACTTTGTTATTTAGGTGATAAACATTGGAACGATGTGAAGTTTTTAACATACGAAAAAACCTGCATATCAAGTATCTGTTTGTGAATGTCTACGCAGTTTACTTGCCCGATTTTCACAGTCATCTATGCCTCTACTTCGAACCCTCCCCACACTATCCGATTGTGCTTCTAACGATGTCATATTCACCTTTTCCAACAGCTTCGGGTCTGTGTTACATCCAACTCCTTTTGCTGTGATAGCAGCTCTATCGTTTGATGCCCGGTCAACCTCTGCAATCACAGTGGGGCTCGTCCAAAATTGTGATAACGGCGATAACATAAAAGGATCGGATGTGGTTGTCATCTTAGGCGGAGTTACATCAACAACCGTCAATACTTTGTCACTACGTTGACCTTCATCCTGTCGGGTCTCCCATATGCTGTCTTTGAACATTCTTGCCAAATCATGTTTGAATTGGTCGAAACAATTGTCACCGGAAAAACGTTCGACATATCCTTGCAGCAACATGTCTGCTTCCGTCCGTGAAGAATGGAGATCCGCGATTCGCTCACGCATCATTATGATGCATTCCTGCAAACCCATTCACAAATTGTGAAGCAATAAAAATACGTAACAATGTGGTATGTGCAAACAGCAAAAATAATTTAGTCAATCTTGTGTGTTTGACGATAAAAACAAGACACATTTGTATGTGAAGTGGACATGATGAAGGAAGGCAGAGAATTTCAAAAAACTCGAATTGTGATTTCTTACGCAGATTGTGAACAGACATTTACAGAGCATATTGACAAAGGTTGACACATTGGCTTTTTCACCCCCCAAAAGAAAACATTGTCATCTGTTGATTTGTGTGCATACATGGACCATGAATGAACCACCGTGAACATCTTTATAATTTTTTTAAATGTATGTACATTACTTAAATATATGTTCATACATGGGCCCATATCCGAACACAACTCAACGCACCAAAAAATTAACGGATCAACTGCTACTATGTGATCATAGATGGGCCAAAAACAGCAGCTGACCATAAGACATTATGCACAATATGAAAGCAGAAGAACATGCGTAAAAACTAGCACAAACATTGAAACAATTTATTTAAGTTACCTCTTTAGTCACATTTTGATTTTCTGCTTCTTTGTCTTTGCTAGACTAGCACAAACATTGAAACAATTTATTTAAGTTACCTCTTTAGTCACATTTTGATTTTCTGCTTCTTTGGCTTTGCTAGACTCAGGTCTATCGTCTGCTGTGTGATGATCTACAATTGTTTGCTCAAACGCTCCTCGCTCAACTGGTTTATTACATGTCAATTTCGTGTATCCAAACCCTCCTCTACTAAGCTCCAAGTCTTGTCTTCGCCTCAGTAAATCCAATGTCCAAGTTCTCAACGGATATGATTGATGTTGGTTCTGAATGCCGTCACATGTTGTTGCTTGAACATATAACATCTGCATGAATTAAACA